TTTACGCGCGATGTTTTTGCTATCAACGTAAGCGGAGATTTGATCCGTATTAGAAAATCTTCCAAATTGGGATGAGGCATGTTCTTTGGTCTATTTGATTTTTTGCCTTCTGCATTGATCGCATTTCTCGATACGTCGGTTGATCACAAAACTTCGTTCCGTTTCTAAAACTTTCCTACTATTTGTGTCTGATTTATGTTCAAAATCGTTCATGTTCCCTGCCAATACAATTGAATCTCTATTCGAGTTAGCATGACTAAGCCCTTCCTTTTTTTTGTTCCGGCTTTCGATACAAAAGTAACGGAATATTTGTGCTCGGGGTGGGTTTTTTTTCTTCAAAACAAATTTCGACTTTTTAACTAGCCATTTTTGACGAATTTTTTAAAAATCATTCAAAAAGTATTGTTGTGCTGAGCTCAATTTTGAAAAGATATTTCACCTGTGATCATTTTTCAAAATTTATGGGGGTTTAAAGATTGCCATTTTGGCCAATTTGGGACAATTAACGCGCAATATATTTCGCGCTTTTAACGCGTAAGCGGAGAATTAATCCGTCGTTCTATATTGGTTGAAAGAAGCTTATTTGCAATAATTGATTTGTTGGGGGATGGTTTTGATGAAAAAATTCCAAATTTTAGAAAAAAAAAGCTTTCCTTTTTTTCACATTTAATTTTTAATGTCATTACTGCTCTATAAAACCTTAAAAGGCAGTCGGAACATTCAGGGCTTCGCCCTGATACGAGCAGCCCGAATCACTTTGTTTTTATATAGCGTGTGGGAAGATTATTTTCAAATGAAAGCTCGAAAAAATTTTGATGTTTTTTGTTCATTTTTTGAAAATGTGATTCACCTGTTAAGCGATTGCGATTTTGTGTTTATTTGGGGAATAGGATAGTAAACAAAACCTGGCATTTGACTTTTGCAAAATTTTTGGTTCTGCAGAGCCATTATTGTTAAGCCAACCGAAACAAACGGATCAAAGGAGCTGGATGAAAAAGATTTTCAGCAAGTTTTCGGTCAAATTTAAGCGTGTGAGGCTAATCAGGAATGTAAATCCCAAATCCAGGTCAATTTCCTTTCCCGATGCTTTCTTCTAAAAATGGGACAAAAGATCAAAGAGTTTCATTATTTTTGCCGACGAGCTGGGTCACTAGATTTATTTTGAAGAAGTGACCTGTGAATAATGGCTTCATTTGACCTTTGAATGATGCTAAGATCCGATGTTTGCTGACAAATACAAATAAATTAAGTTAGTATCATAAGAAAACTGTTTCAAAAGGCCACAATAAAGTGTTTACTTCAAATAACTATATCCAACATATAAATCAAGGATGATATAAATCAAGCGTCAGAACTCAACGTAGCATCATATTCTATTGCTCATACTACAAGCTAATTTTTAATTTTCTTCAAATTTTTGAGATACTCTTAACCAAAATGGCAATGAGGAGTAACCCGACTTTGTTTTTGGTCACGTGCAAAGGGTGCCGAGAGACGTTTGGGAACGACAGGAAGCCGTTCGCTTTGAACTGTTCGCCGGGACACAGACTGTGCGAGAAGTGCTTGGATGACTACTCGAGGAAGTTTTGCCCGCAATGCCGAAAACCTATTTTGAACCGGGTGAGAAAACCGACCAAGAAAGTTCCTGAAATTAAAATTATTTTCTTCGATCGCAAAAAAATTGCCCGTTTTTCTCTTAAAAAGAAACATGGAGGGATAAAAAAATTTAACGGAGTTTTAGTAAAAATTTCAATTTCTGAAAATAATAATCTTTATAATTTAAACCATTTGATTTTAAAGAATTTAAAAATATATTAAGGCATTTTTTAAGAATATTCGCTAAAATGACGTGACATACCTGAACTATCGAATAGTTCTGGTTTTATAATTCATGAAATGTCAATTTTTGCTGCTCGATATTTCAAACTGCTTTTGAAAACTTTGATCAAATATACTTTTGAGCATTTTTTGAAAAGATTGAACTCAAAAATGATTTTTCGCTTCCCCTCCCCCTTAGTTTTTAGAGTATTTAGCGCCAAAAGCACCTTCAGAAAATTTTTTGTTTGGAGTCTAAAAATGGATGGCCAAGTAGATAGTGAGGGTACGACGGGTATAATGACTTCTAGTTCCTCCTAAAAGTGGAAATGAGCGTACCTTAACCCGTTTCAGCCAATGATAATGTTCCCTGTCCTAGCAGTTTTTGTAATATATCAAATCGTTAAACACCTTATTGATAAGATAGAATTTTAAAAAATTATCATGAAGGTTGGTTATTGTCTTGCAAGATCGAGCAAAATTTTTTCAAGATTTTGCAAGATTTTTGCAAGATTTTGCAAGATTCTTGCGAAATCTTTGTAAGAAAAGCATTTCTTTTGAAGACTATTTAAGACTCTTGCAAGACAACTCTTCCGTAATCGACTGTTGACAGTATTCAAAAATTTAATGCATTAGGGTGGTCTGCGGGTTGACAAAACAGCCCTGGACAGGGCCATCAAAGCGACCAGAGCTGAAATGGGACAGGGAGGGAGTTCCGACAACCTGGCCGCATCGTTCGGCGCTTCGGACTCGTTCGCCAGTTGTCAGCGGTGTAAGAACCCGGCGACCACGTACAAGATGGTGTGTCCTCATTGTTCCCAACTGGTCTGTCAGAAGTGCGCGGAGAAAGATATCAATGCGTACATGCCACAGCTGCAAATGGGATTCAGCAGGTACAATTAATCAAAAAAAGTATTTAAAAAATGCGAGAATGAAAATTAAAATAAAGGATTTTAAACTATTTATTTTGCTTTGCGGAGAAACATATTGCATTAATAAATGCTTTTTTAGTGCAAAATTTCTGATCCCAAAATTGAGCTTAGTTAAAAATAGATGTAAATAATACACAAAAATACATTGCCTTATTTTGAAGAAAATAAATGACTTATAATCTCAAATACATTGATGTAAGTCTAGACTTGCTGCTTCGAAAAATTTTGTATAATTTTTTAAACCAATTTTATAACTGCTATAATTTTTTCGAATCTTCTAAGAGTATAACTCTTTGAAGTTCCATTCAGGTACCTGGATCTTCTGAAAAGCGTGAACGAAGAAGTCGAAAAACACGTGCGAGCTGAACAGGTCAAAATTGACAAATTTTTTGAGGAGCGGAAAAGGGAGGCAAAAAACCAGTTGCTAACAAGTGTTGCTCAGCTGAATCTGAGCAAAAAACGAGAGGAGGCCGAGATGCTCTTAACCGAGTTGGACCGAATGGCGAATGACGAAGTGTTCGAGGGTGATAACAACGGTGCTGATAAGAACTCAATTTCAGTCGAGCAGGATTTCCAGTCGATGTGTAATTTGGTCTTAAGAGCTGAAAAAGTGAGGAAAAATCAAGTGATGGAACCGGATATTGATTTCTCAGAGGCGGTTGTTCACATGGAGCATTTCCAGGAAAAAGTTCAAAATCGGTAAGTGGATACTTAAATCTCGTCTTGATCAATCATAATTTCATGTAGCTTCTCTAAAAACTGTTTTTTCAAAAGTTACAAAATTTTTGAAAAAATTATAGATCAAAGTCAATAAGTTTTTTTTTGGTGAAGAAAAAGAAGAATTCATTGCACTAAGAGCTGGTTTCAAAATAGTTAAATATGTCTTTTGAACGGCTTTCCTCGTCGTCTTAAATTTGGACTTCAAAATGATTTAGGAATAATGAAAAAAACTTTAGGTCGGATAGATTTCACAAACGACCTATCTCCTTCTCTCTCGGAAGCGGTTTAGACGAGGCCGAGAAACGAGCCTTCGACAACCTCTTCTCGCCCGCACCCGAGCTCCGAACGACTCGTCGGATGCGACACACGTCGTCAAATAACATCGATTTGGAATCGTTTACCTCAAGGGTCAACAGGTCCTCGACATCAAACCCAACTTTGAGACGGAACCCTTCGTATCAAAACATCTACATGGGAACTCCTTTGCGACCTAGAAAACCATCTTTGGGATTCAATAAACTATAAATGAAGAAAAGTAATAACCAGTTTACTATTGATTGGCTTAAAACTAATTCTTAGTGAAAGTAATTTTATCAATTTATTGTTTTTTATTATAACTGATTAATAACTTAGTTTAACCAAACCAATGTTATAATAAAGCCTAAATTTTCTCTTCTTGCATGCTGCAACTGTTTGAGAAATATGCTCAGTTATAGAAATCAAAACAAGAGTACTCGTATATCAGGGAGAAGCACTTCCAACTCCACTTAAAGGCCATATAAAAAAAAATTATAATTATCTTGTTTTATGATTTTTAAATTTATTCCCCCGCACGCTAATTTAATTCAAGATAGGATATATTTAGCGTCTTGTATTCTAACAAAACTGCTCGTATATCAGGGCAAAGCCTTGAATGTTCCAATTGCCCTTTAATCCATACCGAAGAGTTTTTGGGAAAAAAAATATCGAAAAACTATGCGTTTGTACAATATTAAAGATCAAGTGCAAAAAGTTGATCGCTTGAAAGTAAAACGACCAACCAATTGGCTTGCCCTCATTCAAAATGGAACAATTTTGTTGTTGACGAAATAACTCGCCACGTGTAAGCAATTCGCGTTACGCTTTCAGCATTATGAATAAAGTCATCGAAGCGCGCATAAATTAGTCCAGAGCATGGGCAAATTGGCAGTTTTCAAACTCCCATAACTTTACAAAAAATGATCACAAAAAAATTAATAATTTCAATTTTAACTAAAAACAATAGTAGTTTTGAGTTGGTATAAAAAATACCTTCAAAAAGGCTTAATTAACTAGTCGAAATCTGACCGAATAAAAAACTCACCCCAAGCATAAAAATTTTGCCTTTTCTTCGAAAGTCGGAACAACAAATACAGATTCTACTACTCGCAAAGGATCTATGAAAAGATATCAAGCTTGTCTAAGCATAGTAAATGCGTATAATTGCCCCGCATTCCAGACCAAAATAGGCCAGGCTGTGGTAGACCTGAAGATAGTGCTTAAAGTAGAGCTCGTTCTCAGACACTGTCATTGCCATGGCAGCAGATCAATTACACGATCTGGCAGCCTTACTAATATACTAAAAAATACAACTATGCTATAAAATATAGCCTTACAACTAAGCTAATAAACGTCAATTTAGCCTAAGTCCCGATTTAAGGTGGTCGACTTATGTATCAATGGAATGCCCTTTTTCTGAATCAAGTTAATAAAATGAAAATATCGGTCACCCAAACTTAAAACATAAATTGACAGTGTCAGTCACATTCGACAGATTTAGTACATGAGTTCACCAGCTTAAAATTTTTAATAAGTATTTTTTCAAAAATTTTCAATTTATTTTTGACACAAATTTCTGCCAATTTTTAAATTTCAAAATGTGATAATCCTAACAGTCTTTCGAGTCATTTTACCTTATAAGCGAGATGATAATAGGACATCAGTCTACCCTTACGCTCGATAAATATCTCTTCAACCTCAATATGGGCATTTCAATTCTTTTTACAACACCTTAAAGACACATTAATGGGGCAAAAATTATATTGTGTGATGTAAAATAAATATAGTGAAATAAAATTGTATAGTAAAAAACTATGTGTATCAAGGCAAAGCCCTGCAAATTCCGACCAATTTTAAGGTTTGAGTACTTTGTTTTCTAAATTCTGATGATTTTTTCAAAAAAAGTTCAAAGTTTTTGTGATTTGTTTGAAATCATCCCCCACACGCCGTATTACGTACAGAGTGATAGTTTTTGATTCTGGCAACGTAAAAACTGTGACAGCTAGCCTACTTCAACCAATTTTAAACAATTTCTAGGACCGATTAAATCTCTGATTGAGCGCATTAAGTATATAATTGGCCCAAATTGCTATTTTCAAACGCCCATAGCTTTACAAACAAAAATCACTGGTAAAATATTTTCTAATATTTGATCTCAACACAACATTACCTCTCGAATGATAAAAAAAAATTTTGTAAAAAATTGCTAGTTGAAAAGTCAAAATTTGTCTCGAGAAAAACAAATCACCACGAGCATAGCTTTTCATAGCTTTTTGTTTAAAAGATTTATGCAGATGAAATTCACCCAACCTGTTATTCATAGCTGTTTCTTTAAAAACATTTGCGCGTAGCCGCTTATGCAGATGAAATTCACCCAGTTTGTCAGTCATAGCTTTTTGTTTAAGAAATGTTGCGCGTAGCCGCTTATGCAGAAGAAATTCGCCCAACCTGTTATTTCGATTGAAGCCAAAAACTGAACTTTGGCAGGTAGTTCTCACAAAAAGTTTTTTAAAAACGGTCAAAAAAATTGACTTTTCCGAGGACCATTTTTTTATGTTTAAAAACATTTGGGCGTGGACGTATATGGAGGGGAGTTTCCAAATCCACTCTATTTATTGAAATAAAAAGTATCAGGTTTGTTAGATTAGTTTTTGTGAAAACGAAAAAAAAATTTCGGTCAAATATTTCCCCTGCAGACGTTTTCGAAGACTTAGACAAAATGGTGAAGCAAAAACAGACCAGGGGAATATGCAGGCACAAAAGGGTGCAGGCGGTCATTCTATGATTCTCTTTTTTTTTTTTAAAGTGATAACTTTTTCCAAAGCATAGAAAAAATATACAAAAAAACCAACCCTACACATTTTCAAAAAATATTTCTTCGATCAGAAATTCTAGGCAAACATGCCAAGCAATGCACTTGAAATTCAAATTAGCATTTGAACAAACTTACGAAGTGTTAACAAGGCCAACAAATTTTGAGCAGACACCAGTTACCCCCCAAAAAAAAGTGATTTTTCAAAAGTCTTTTGGAAGTTTCAAGTCTCCCTGAACGTACCCTGTAGTAACTAGAACCCACCCAGAAGTTAATTATGAATTTTCATGAAACTGAGCATGTTAGCCTTGATATTTGATTTTGCTAAACTAGTTGTTAACTAGAAAAAAGTCTATATTCCGAAGCGTAAAAACGATTAAAAAAAATGAACCCAAAGAATGTGGGCAAGCTTTTTCACCGAAAAATCGAAAATTCCTAGGTGTCTGTTAGATTAGGTAATTCTTCCATGGGAGTATTTTTTCCACCAACATTGTCATTTTAGGATGAAACGCTACGGTCGATAATTTTTGTCACAGTGATAAAATACATCAAGCAACATACATCAAATCATAAGTTTGTGCTTCATTTTTGTGCTTCAAAACCATCAAAAAGTCTTAGAACGAAATCAACTTCCCTGAAAAAGGAGTAATGGAAATTGAAAACAATAGGGGGCCTATAGTTTTAGTAATAAAAGCATGGCGATTTAAAATTTAATACTTTAGCCAAAGGTTCAATTATTTGAAGCTCTTATATACTTCCTGGTCTGCTCAAAGAGTAAGCAAACGCGGCCTATTTAAGCGCCGAAAAAGAATCCGCGTTCAAACATTAGTTTTTTTTCAACTAAACTGAGGAAAACTAAGAGGTCTTTTAACTCAATATTTGAAGCAAGGTTTGTGGTGGCCTACCTCATGATGGATGGATCAAATATTGAAATTTTTTTTCCTTTCTTTTCAGCCAATAAGTATTGAGTAACTCCAACATCTCAAAGAAATCGCAAAAACTCGGAAGTAGCAAATAATTCCAGGCCAAAAAAATATTGACCTGTTAGAGAATAAGCAAATTTTGCCATATCAAAGAAGTTTTGACAAAAAAAAAGATATTTTTTTAGCTAGTGGTTTAATAAAATTCAAAAAACAATACACAAAAGTTTTTGATTGTGCATGCTATATTTTATGTTCTGCTAATTGTTCCGACTTTCGATACGAAAGTAACGGAATATTTGTGCTCGGGGTGGGTTTTTTTTCCTTCAGACAAATTTCGACTTTTTAACTAGCCATTTTGACGGAATTTTTTTATATCATTCGAAAGATATTGTTGTCTTGAGCTCAAATTTGAAAAGATATTTCACCTGTGATCATTTTTCGTAAAGTTATGGGGATTTAAAGATTGCCATTTTGGCCAATTTGGGACAATTAACGCGCGATATATTTCGCGCTAATAACGCGTAAGCGGAGAGTTAATCCGTCTTAGAAATCGTTCCAAATTGGTTAAAAGAAGCTCATTCGCCATAATTGGTTTGTTACAAGGAGCAAAAACTATCCTTTTGTACTTTGTATGGCGTGTGGGGGGATGATTTTCATTTAAAAAAATTCAAATTTTAGAAAAAAAAAATCTTTATTTTATTTTTTCTCACATTTAATTTTTCAATGTTATCACTGCTTCATAAACCTTAACAAGCAGTCGGAACATTCAGGGCTTCGCCCTGATACGAGCAGTCTTGTTTTGACTGCGGTTCAGTGCAAAAACCATTCAGCTAATATGAAATTCTACGGATTCTGATTGGATAATACTTTGTATCATTTGGTCCCTCTATCATGAGAATAGTCCTCAATTTATGTCACGTGTCGGTTGATAAGGCTTGTAATTTTGGAAAAAAAACTTAAAAAAAACTTCTTCTTTTTTAAGCTTCACCTGTTTGCACCTTTATAACTTAAGAAAACTAACGAAAAGAAAACTAAAAATTTGGTTTCGGTGAGGTTTTTAAAACATTATTTCCCTGGGTTTATTGGATCTACTCAACAATCCAACTCCTTTTAAGCGTGTGTATGCTCGCTAATCTCCAAACGAAAATAATTGAATCCAAATTCGTAAATTAATAAGAGATATTTATCGGTAAATAACTCAGGCAATAGATAAATTTCGGTATTTTTCGATTGATCAGGACATCATACAACATTTTTAGCATCTGTGAGTTTTTGGTACAAATCGGCGCAAGCTAGCCACAAGAACCGGTCGGTAATGTCCTTGAGACAAATTGCTCTTTTTGGCGGTCAACCTTAATCAAGGCTGAACCAAATTAGAACCAAAAAACAGTTAAAATAGGAAGTAACCCCCGTTTTTAGTATATTAATACATGGGCAGGTGGGGGACTCGAACCTACGTCAACTGTTATTTCACACATATAACCGGCGTTAGCGTACTTTGTCTTAGTTCGCTTGGCCAACTGTGCTTATTTTATATGCATCTATACTCTTGTTTTATTCTACATTTGCATTGCAACATCCTCCCCCCCTGAAGAAGGAAGAACCGGAGCGAGCTTA